GCAGCAGTGTCAGCAGATGATCAGTGTGGTTTTGGCTGAGAGCAACAACAATCAGTCACATCATGTTCTCACATAATTCAGTCATCTGCCAACGTAAACAGGAGGAGGTGTCAGCCAGATCACCCTATGTCGGGGATTGACGGTGTCAAGCCTGAAGGCAGTTTTGTTCAGTTTTGAAGAGATGATACATTTGTCAAACCTGTATCACACTCATCTTATTAGCAGAGTGTGATCCTGACTGACAGCTCTTTTGTATCCACTAGTTATGGAAGACATTAGATCACTGTTATCGTTTTGATTCATGGGTAAATGTCTGTCATAAATACAGGGGTTGGAACAGGCTCCCACCTGCCTGACACCAGGGGGATTCCAAAGCATTTTTTAGACATTATTCTTCTGTGAAGTTGTGTGAACACAGGTGAACTGGAGGTCGCAGTCCAGTCAGAGTCACAGTACGGAGATACGGAGTGGATGAAGACGTCTGGGGGATGAGAGAGGTGAAACTCACGGCCTACATGTAGTACATCCAAATACAGTCTTTAATTATTAATTCAGACTGAAAATATCAGATTAGCAGATTTCAAAATCCTGCTAAATAAGTGAGAGGACAATTGTCCCATCACATTCTGTACTTTATTGTATGACGGGAGGGTGCGGGGGGGGGGCATGCTCAGAGCACCTCAGTGGCAGCTGGTGGACTCGAACCTGTAACCTTCTGGACCCAAGTCTGCGTCCTTGACCACTGTTGTTTTTTTAAATCATCTTTTCATTGTTTTTACACATGTGTTTTACTTCTCAGACTCTGGCTCCTTCTGTGCAGAATCAAAGCTGTATAAGGTCAGAGGTCACTGCTTATAAATTTGCCTAAAATCATCTGGTTCTACACCAATAAGAAATGTATTGTTGATGCTGCTGGGACATTTGGAAACATCCGTCCTCTCTGAGCTGGAGGCTGTCAACCATCAAAGGCTAATTTGTCAGAGGGAACGTTGATACACACAACAACATATTAAATATGTAACACCTGCCAAAGCAACAACATCTGCAACCAGACGTAGAAGGAACAACTGTTACTCGCTGACTAATATGTGTCAGGTTTTAAAAGAAAAAAAAATTGCACGCCTTGAAAAACATCAGAAAATTATTATAAACTTTTGTTTTCATTCACACTAACAACTGACTTACAGAAAATTAGGAGACACAGTAGATCAGGGCTGTCAAAATTATTTTGGTTCATACAACCTAATTAGATGTCAAGTGGGCCGGACCAGTACAATCATAACTTAATTACGTCTAAATAACTAATAAATAATATTTTTTCCCTTTTGTTTTCATGCAAAAAAGTACATAAGCTAAATCTCCATATTTAATGAAAAAAAAGTTTACAAAATATTTTCTGAACCTGTGTTTGTGTACTTGTACGGTTTTGGCCCACAGACCATATGTTTGACACCCACTCAGGTAGTCTGATGTGATCATCTCCCGTCACCGTTTACCTGTCTCTACGTGTGTGTGTGTGTGTGTGAACGTTTCAACAGTCAAATAAATATGAACAGATGTAATCAGTCAAAACACAGATGTGTGGCTGTGATACCACTGTCCTGGTGCACGAAATGTTGCACAACAAACCAGGAGTGTGGCAGACAGGCTGTGGTGGACGGATGACACACTCTGATGTAACACACATTCCCACACTCTGTGGCTGTGACGGGAAAACATGACGACTGTGTGCTGCAGTATGAAAAACAGTCACAGAATGACAAAAAGATGCAACTGTAAGACTGTAGAGCTGTAACTACGCCCTAATCTATTAATAAATGTTTCTACGATTGATTATTATTTATTATTTATAAGTTAATAATACTGTAGATTTCTCTGTGTAATATTTTTTTTTTACATTTATCAGGTGAAGACACTCACCAGCATGGAAATCAAATAGTTGTTAAGCTCCTGAGGGCCGCAAAAAATGACTTGGTGGGCCACATTTTGCCCGCAAGCCTTGAGTTTGACACGTGCTGTAAATGTTTTATGCATTAATGCATTTGAAGGAAATGTAAACAGCAGTACTGGAAAATGCAGATTGAATTAGGTTTATGTAGTAATTTTCCCTCCAGTCCAGATGGTGGCGCACATGTTCAACTCGAATACTTGATTTAAAAAGTACTAATGTAACAAACTGTTGGTTAAAATACTTGACTTGAGATAAAGTTCCTAAAACCTTTTGGTTAAAAGACTTGAAATAAAGTTCCTAAAACCTTTATATCAAATCCGTACGGTCCAGAAAAACAACTACCGTTTTTTTAAGGTTGGTAAAAAAATGAAGATACTTTTGTGTCTTTTTCTTTTGTTGCCTTTGAACTCATAGCGTTGACTTTGTGCTTGTGCTTCTTTGCATTGATACAGAGCACAGACGTGATAAGCAAATTATTCAAATCTTCATTTAAATAGACGGACGGACGTCCACACGGAGGCAGAGGAACCAAACTGTGGTTGTTGGTTCTGTTCCCTCTGACAGGAAGTCAACAGGTCAACGTGAGTTTGCTTCGGCACACTTTTTTGGTTAAGGTTTACTGCTGACGAGTGTAAGGCGTAACAGATGGTCATTAGGGAATGAGATGATTAAAAATAAAATGTTAATTATAGGTTTGCTGGTATGAACATGATGGAAATGTTTGACTAACGTAACCACATACCTTCTTGGTTTGGTTTAATAACTTCTCTGTTATCATCCACATCCTCTACAGCTGTGTCTCACACACAGAGAGAGAACTGCTTGCACTCATTAACTCTCAGGGTTCACCAACAGAACATCACTGTTAACGATTCATGTCTGTTTCATGCCTGCAGACTGCAGCGACGTAGAACAGACAGTTGATAATGATCGGCTCCTCACGGCTGATACAGATCTGACAACCGATCATTTCATATTTTACACAGTCTTCTCAATG